CACCCCGTCTTTTCCCCTTTCTTCAGTTAGAAGTTAATTCTAGTTCTGAAAGACACAAAAACTCCAGAAATCATGTTGTAATCCAAATAGTCATTGACTAATTACTGGAATGTTTCTTGACTTAATCAAAATTCTTTCTCCTGCTTATTCTCTGATATTCAAAATGTGTTTCATCTCTAGCAGTTCAGAAGCTTTGTCTGAACCCATAAAGCTGCTTTGATATCAGCAGCTCCTTCAGGTTTTTGGGTTTTTTTTGTTTTTTTTTTTTTTTTCCCCTAATGCTCAATATTGGAAACATTCATACAACACTTCACTGTTTCTCTTTTTTTGAAAGTTTTATGGTAAGTTTTTCTACTTGTGAAAATTATTTTAGCATCAAGCAGTAACATTTTAATCTCAGTAAATATTAAGGAATTGAGTATATTTAGAGCTGGTTATATGGATGTTGCATATCAGGACAAGAAATAAGTAGGTTATTAATTTGTAATTTAAAATGTATCTTTTTACACTCTGTACCCTCTCATTTCTTCTCAGTGTTACTGATTTAGTGCTGGACATCTTCATCCATAATTAATAAACGTAGTCTTTTTTTGAAAAATATTTTCCAGATGTAATCATGGTAAGGATATATATAACTACTGTCATAAATTCTTCATACTGAAAGTCAGTCTGACCACGTCCAAATCAAGCTCCATAGAATTTAAGTTTACATTATTATTATTTTAATCATCATCATTCATGCATTTTTAATAGTTCTCTTTTTTCCTACTAAAATCCTTATTTAAGCATGGACACTCTGTTGAAGCAGTCTACTCTTTAATTATCGTTTACTCTTCCTTTGATTTATTTAGACCTTTGCTTTCCTTGTTTGCTGACTTTACTTTCTTGATAAACTATTTGATCCTTACTTTGTATATGACAAAATATTGTAAAACAAGTTACTTCTTGTAATCCTTAGAATCAAAGTAGGATTTCAGTTCTTAAAATAGTAACTATTTTTACACTAAACCAAGACAGTGATAAAGGAATCTTTTTATCCATTAGAAAAAAGGTTTGATAAATGCTAAACTACCATTAAATTACAATTGTTACAAAAGCTAAGAGATTGAGTTATAAAAAATGAAAAGAAGTAGTATTGAACAAAATATCCAAGCTGCTTTCAAAAAACTTTAACACTTTGGATACATCTGTTCTTTAGTTACAAATCTAGTATTTTCACTGTTTAACAAGAGAAATAGTTATACTCTGATCCAAGGGTGCTATTGCAACTTGAATAAACACCTGGAGCTGGCTTTGAACTAGCTAGATAGGTTCTGAAGATAGCATAGAGCCACTGAGTTGACTACCAGTTTAGGAATATTTTTGGGGTACTAGTTAGAGTTGAATTCTTTCTTCTTAAATTAGAAAATTACGATAAGCAGAGCATAGCTATGACTTTTTGTCTCTCTGGCCCCAGGGAGATAATTTTTATATCCAAACTGACTGAATTTCCTGTAGAAGTAGTAATTAGGATCTTTTGTGGATAAAAGTAGGCGCTTTTTTTTTTAAGAGTTTCAGATGGAGATCTTGTTCACTAACTTAAGTAAATTCTTTTCTATTGATTGTGTGTCACCGAAGCTTTTTACTTACAGAGTAATAAAACAGATTTAGACTTAACTGAAATGTCTACCTTTTCATCGAGTAATGGGGAAATGCAAGAATTAGTCTTTCTGATCCTCTCTTGAAATATGTAGGTAGTGGGATAGCTGTGTTTGCTAGACTTGATTCAGTATTAGAAAGATTAAATCTTTATTTCAGTTCAGAAGAGTGATCTTACCAGTAGACCAGGGACTCTTTTAAGAAAGAACACCATCTTCTTCTTGTTTTCTTACTATGATGGAAGATTAACCACTGTGTAAGCAGGAACACAAGAGTCATAAGCTGAGAAAGAGAGCAGCCTAGAGGGACCCTGACTATTGCCTAGTAGTTGTCTTGGGAAGGGGCAGAACTGAGCTACTAACTCAAATTATATACCATAATTAAATGTTTGAGAAGCTATTTCCAGAACATCAGAATAGCTGTTTTTAGCCAACCTAGCTGCTTGTAACTAAATGTAAGTGTCTATACAAAAATATAGGTGTATGAGTGTTCAGGAAGCTCCAGGGAGTCTGGGGCTTCTTCAGATGTTCAGATGAAGGTGACATGTTTAGATTCCCTTGCCTATGTTCCCAAGACATTCACTTGTGTAAGTGTCCAGGAGCCCACATCGGGAGCTTGAACTCAGCTGAAGCTGAGTCCCACATCTAAATTCCTACTTCTGGCAAGTTTTCAGGCCAAGTAGTGTGTAAAGAGTTTAAGCTTTTCTTTTGTAATACTAGAAAACAAATTATCCATTTTCAAAATACTTTTTGTCTAGCATTAATAATTCTTGCCATTCTTTAGATGGATATGTTACACTTGAAATGCTTGTTCTATTTGCTTCTTAGGGACTATGCAGACAGAACACTATCAAGCATATTCTTTCTTTACAAATGGTATTTTTAAAAAAGCTACGGAAATGTTTGTAGAATCAGCAAAAGGTGCTAGCTAGCAGTATTGAATCACTTGCTTTTTACACCCTCAGTTATGTTAATTTGTGTGTTGCCTATTTACATTCTACTGTCTTCAGGGAGGATTATTGTCTTTGGAGTGTGTGGTAATGATGCATATGTAATACCATTGCCTACAATAATACAAGCAACATGGAATCTGAGATTTTTAAACCTATTTTTTTTCCTTGATAGAATTTAATAAAACATCTTCCTGAACAAGAACAATTGAATGCATTAGCCAAGTTCAAGAGCGAGTATAATAATTTGTCGGAGCCAGAGCAGTTTGGAGTTGTGGTGAGTTCTGTTTTGTTACTGCTTTTTTTATCCTTTCCTGAAATACAGTTTTAATATAATAATATATTAATATTAGAAACAATACGAGCTCATTCTTCCTAAATGTAAAGAAGTTCCAGACTAGGAGAAGAGTAAAAGTGCTGCCTTTTAATCAAACTTTTAGTGGACTTATCCATGCACATGGTTATTGGGATTCAATTTCTTTAAAAAAGTAATTTGGTAGAGTTTCTGGCTCATTTGATCTAGAAGTTGAAATGTTTGGAGAGGAGATGATAAAAGACAGAAGGTAGGAGGGGAAAAAAAAAACTGGTTAGGAAGAGTGAGTATGATAAAGAAAACAAAACAATCTCTTGCATTTTTACCTCTACCATAGTCTTTTAATATAAATTAGACTTTCTTGTGTCTTTTGTTTTATTCTGGCTGGGGCATGGCCTGAGAACTTCTGCTCATCTCTTTAAGAACTGCTGTTGAGACAAATATGAATCTTCTCAGTATAGCTGGTTTTGGGTTTTGTTGTGTGTTTTTTCTTTTTCCTTACAATTGTTTTATGGCTCATTTTTTTGCTATTCTTTTCAAATGAGGAGATTCGAACTTATACACAATACAAGACTTTCAGATTTATCTTTTAGGTGGGTGGTGTCTTGTAGTTATGGTATTTCAGAGAATTTGGAGATCCCATGTTAATTTTCTCTGAAGTTGTGATTAAGGGAACCATTTGACTGCCAATAAAGAGCCTAAGTAGTGAATAAATGGATAGTTACTACTTGTGCTGTACTAAAAAATTTTATAATGGAAACCTTTCATCCTGCTGGCTTTGAATTCAAAGTCAAGATTTGGTACTCTGAAAGAAACAGCTAGACGTGTACTGAGACACTGGCGTGCTGTTACTGTTACAGTATTGTATGTTTTACTTCAAGTGAAGTTAATTAACTTTTGTTGTTGACTTAAAGACATTGAGAGCATCACTCTAAACAGTTCAGGTTCCCTTCATGAGTGTGGCTTGTAGTGTTGTTTGTTTGTTTTTTGTAGTGACTGTGTGGGTTGCTTTTGTGGTTTCTGCAATTATGCTCTTTTTAAGTTATTTTGCACTTCTATGTTTTTTGTTCATTCACCAGTAGGTATAAAATAAATCCTTTATTACCCTTATCTTCTCTTCCAGACTTCAGGGTTTTTTTAGATAAACTACTTTATTTTTCTGTACATTCTTCCTTTCACTTACTCGAGGCTGATGTCTCAGAACATAGATATTATCATCCATTACTTTGGAGTTTGATTTTGGTTTTGGGGTTTTTTGTTTGTTTGTTTTGTTTGTTTTTTTGTTTCTTTTTTTTGACTTGCTCACATCCATGAACTATTTTTTGAAAACTATATTAAATCTGTTCATCTTACTGAGCACTTTAACTTAACTTTGTAGTATTATCTTAAGTTGATATTGTTTTGAATGCTGTATTTTGTTGCTTTAATTCTTGATGAAGTATGTTTGTGCTTGCTGAATTTTAAAAATCCAATTGCATTTTGTTTTGCTATAGTTCTTGTTTTGTACTTAGTTTTACTCAGTGCTATAAACTTCCTCCTGAAGTAATTTAACGTTCATATTATTTTCTTGGAGATTTCATAGATTGTGACTGATATTGGGTAATATATTCTATAAAATTTGTTAATGATGAAGATTATATTTGTGTTTAGAAGTGAGTAGTCATATGACAGCACACTTGAAATGTGAGACCCATCTGAGATGAATGGGTTTCAGCTAGATGATCATCTTGGTAAGTGACTGTTGATGGAGGGTTGGGTTCTTTGGTGTTTTTAAAATTTTTTTCCTGGTGCTTTCTCCAATGGGTAGTATAAGTATTATGTTGCTTTAGGACTTAAAACATTTAGCAATATTGATTTGTTTTGCAGGTAGTTCTCTACTACTGAGAAAAAAGTATTGATTTACAGAATATTTTTTTTTTCTAATTTTGGGTGTGGTCTATGTCATCATATCAAATAAACAAGGAGTAGATAATTTAGTAATGTCAATCTCATTTGTTTTCAGTGAAGTCGATATAACAATTACTAGTAAGATTTGTTAATCATGATCAATACTTTAAATGCAGTAGTCTGTTTAATGGATTTTCATTGGCAAACTGTTGCCATACCACCATTGCAGTCTTGCTGCTGAGTACAGGTGTCTATTTGACTTTCATCTGTTTGCGATCAACAATGATGCTTTGCATTTCAGACATTTTTCTTCAAAGGCTTTTGTTCTTACATAGTCTTATTCTGCCCTGGGAGATTTCATTACACTTAAGGTATACAATATAGCCTATTTCTTTGAGTCGCAGGCGTAAGAGGTGATAACGACACTGAAACACTAAACTATTTTGCTAAAATTTATTGGGCAAAAAAGAACTTTGGTTCTTGATGCGTAATGATTAAATATCTTTCTACCACACAAACAAGATGACAAAACACAGAACTGTTGCATTCCTTTTTGAATTTGTCTGTGATGCTTCCTTTTTTTGTTGTTGTTTTTTTTTGGGTTTTTTTTGGTTTTTTTTTTGTTTTCTTTTTTTTGGTTTGTTTTTGGTCCTCACAGTTGAAGACTGAATCAGAAACCACTGGTAAGGTTTTTAATATTGTAAGAACATGATAATTAAACTCACATCACGTATCTTATAAGTTTTTTGAGTATTCTAGTGAAAGAACAGTTGGAATCACAGAAATAATAAATTAGAAATAAATGTAGGGGTGTCAAGCAATAGTTTAGAATTTTTTTAGAAGAAAAATGAAAGGTATTGACTAAATGGTGATTTATCCCAGTTTAAGAAGATAGTTTTACTGAATAACAATTCAGATTTCTGAAATAAATAAATGGACTTTGGAAATCATTGTTATAAATAAAGCCCTTTTTTTAACCTCAAATTTTTTGTTTGACATTTCTAAATCAGGCCTGGGCAATTGTATGTGAGCTACAAAACTAATATTTACCTGACTGCACTTTTTGTGCTGGACTATGCTATATACCTTTTTTTGCAAAAGGTTTGTAAAAGAGGATGAGACGTGCATAAAGAATTTCCTGCACTGTTAGAGCAGTGTAAAGTAGTTCTTTTGTTTGTATGAAAGAGATTGAAGAGGAAATTTTTCTGTAGGACAAGTCTCATGTTTTAACCATCTGCAGTATTTTTCTGTTTGAAACACCTAATATTTGACACTTGTCATGTCCATTGATTCATATAGCAGTTGCTTTTCTTTTACTTTTTGTCATCTTTACTTTTTTGATAGTCCCAGATTTTTGTTGTCAGCCAGATTTAAAATTTTTAACTCTTGTTTTCTTCTTAATGTAAGCAGTTTTGCATTTAGGTTGTCTGTCTTTGCCAAATATTTATCTTTATCTCCTCAGTTTTTTTGACAAGTAGAAACACTTGTCCGTGTACTGTTACCTTCATTCATGCTTGCAGTAACTTCTTCCTCTCTGAATTTTTTGCTTCAAAAGTATGGTCCATGACAGTTCATGTCATATTCTTTAGAATGTATCTCACCTGTCACTTAGATATTTACTCTGCTGTGTCAATATATCCAATGACTCTTATCCAAATGTAAGTTTAGCTGTGTTCTTACTTATCTTTATCCCTGTTACAGCATTGATGGTTTATCTTTTTCTTGTATTCCACTGTCGATGATGAGCTCATTGCCGATTTTTGTCCTTCAATCTTCCTCATGTAAACAAATTTTCTACATTTTGTTTGTATTTCAATTTCCTTCTCACACTTTTTCTCTAGCTGGTAAAAATGCCTTGTTGTGATTGTGTGAAATTCTTTAAGGTTTGTCTCTTTCAAAGCTGCATTGTACAAAGAAGTGATCCTGTCTGCGTATGAAATTCTCAATTGCTTCTTCTAAAAACCGAAGCCTGCTAGCCTTGAGTGTATTTATCAGCTCTGTTGTTGTATCCTTTGACTGAAGCCCTGATGGCTTCACTGCCTTCGTTTTCTCTCATAGGTCCATGAAATACTGGACAATTTCCTGCCAGAAGTTGAAGAGTTTCTCATATTCACTTTCATGTAATTATATTGTCCCCTGTTGTAGTTATTATTTGGTCATCTCCAGTTTCAGCTTCGTTTTGACTTCAATGGTTTTGTCTGGGTGGCACAGCACAATGTCTGTCTTGAGCATTGATAGCCATGAAACATGTGTCCAGTTACAGCTGAGGCAGAAACCAATATGCATAGCTCTTCTAGCTGTGTGGTTGGTTGGCTGGTTTTTGTTTCCTTGTTTGTTTTTTACCTCTTAGTATAACTCTCAGAGTATTCTGTTGCTCCTGGAAAGCCACACGGCCTTTCTCTGTCTATGTGAGCTAAGCTAACATGTAACATTGCTTCAGTTCTACTCCCATTAGAGTATGTTTTTCCTTTGTACTCTGGGCACTGACAGTGTTGTCATGAGTCTACTGTTGACTCACCTGGGGACAACCCTGCTTTTCTTATCTCTTGCTTAGGCCATCTAAAGCCCCAGTTTGGCTGCTGGGTGAAGACACTGATAACTTCAGAAAAAGTAACGTTCATTTAGATATTCTCTTGAGAGAAACTTAAAAGAAGAAACACCACCATGGGTAATCATAAGTATAAAGAACAGGTAAAATAAAGGGATTTGGACCATGGAGGTGCAATTCAACTTCACAGGAAGAGAATTTAGGGATGACAACATAAAAGAAAAATTTAGGTATGTTGAAGAAAGCAGAAGCTAAAAGTTTGTAGATCAGCTGGTTCATTGGGAAACATGACTTGTAGTTTTTTCTGCAAGAATTCTCTTCTGAGTTATGGTTATCAATTGTATAGGAATTTTTGAAAATAATAACAAAAAGAAGTAATGGAGATCATTTGTTCAAATACAGCATGATTAAGAATGTGATCTGATAATACAGTGGTATTAATTTCAAACAAGCAAGGGCATTTTAAGAAATATAGTGTGAGAAAAGAAACAATAAGTGCTTATTTGAGAGACTGATGGAGAGCTGAAAA